CACAACGCTTTATCTCACACACATCCCTTCTGGGAGAATCCTCATTTTCTCAGAATAACTGGAACCATCTTAAAGCTACTCCATACTCTCCATGTAAAGAGAACCTGTAATAGGAAACAACCTTAGGCTACCCTGCATCTGGGTGGTTTTGTTTTTAACCACTTTTTTAGAGCCCATATTACTTAGTTTCAGTACTTGTGACTTGTTGGACTAAAACCTATTTTGACTCTGACATAACTCCTAAAATGGAAATTCTGTAATAATCTTGTTGTCTAATCCATTTTACATGTTGAATCTGAAAGGTAGATTGAGGTATGCAGAAGCTTTTTTAAAAACTGTTTTTTATTGTAAAGCAGTTGCTTGCCCAGGCTCCCTGTCAATTCTAGGATCTGCCCTGTTTTTGTTCTACACAGTTGTTACAGAGGGAGTCTATTAGTCGTAACAATCAAATGAACCTCCATATGCCAAGACAGTGTAACTCTGAATACTTGGGGCAAGCAGCAGAAGAGGGCTGTTGCCTCAATGCCTAGTTTGAGGGCTTATTTATGCATCTGACTGACTGCTAATGGAAACTGGATGTTGGAAAAGATGGATTATTGGTCTGAACCAGCAGGCCTTTTTATATTCCTCTGAAGGAGTTTTTTTATTTGATTTTGTTTAAGGCTATTTATAGAAGGGCTGCACTTTCTCAGTCTTCTGTCCCACACAGGTTATCTGAAAACTTGGCTCCTGTCATTAAAAGCCTTCTCAGTCGTTTCCCCCCTCGCTGCATTTGCTTCATTTCTTAAAATGTTTCCAGCTTTGGAAAGCTTGGGTTTCAAAATCTTCGCTCTCCCAGCTACATCCCAGTGTTTGTCATAATGTTCACAGTTTTTTGTAATAAGATCATTCAGGTTATCTTTATTGCCCCTCTGAACTTCATTCTTGGTTTCAAGAATTTGTTAACTCTATTTTTAAGTTAGCCTCAGAGTTTTTCCACAGTGATGTCCAGGACAGAAAATGTCAACGGCAGATCTGTGTGAAAAGGTGCCTGTTTCTGTCAAGCAGTTACTGCTTTTCTCCCCTCAGCTCGACCCCTGCTTTGAGCATGCATTGGCCTCTGTCTGTGTCTTCAGGAAGGAGAAGGGCTTTGGCCTATATTTGAGAACACTGTTCTCTCTAAGGAACTTGGCAGTTCTGGAACCACATGAAAGCTATTAGCATCAATCCCCTAGGTAGGGTTTGTGGTGAACTTTGACTGCTGTAATGACTTCTGTATTACAACAAAGGCAACATTTTTGTAACATGCTTCTAATCTTTGATAGTTGAGAAGAGGAGCAGAGACCACGTGTTGCTGCTTTTAACATCCCTGTCAGTTGCTGGTTACAACTAACCTACAAAGGCTATAAAGTATGTGAAATATTTGCCTCAAACTGTGCCACCTACAATAAAGGGGTGGTACATTCATGAAATTTGTTTAGGGTTTCATTAAAATTGCGTTAAGGTTAACCCCCACTTTAAAGAAAGTAGGGGAGAAACATTCCACATCCAACATACTGAGGGGATTTAAAGGCCCCCAATATACTCTCAGTGTAAATAACTACTATATGTGCTATGTACCATATGTACATATGTGCATATATGTACTATATGCAGCAATTAAGATGAGATGTAACCCCAAATAGTATTGTAGGGGTTTTATTAATATATAAAGTTGATTTTCAGTTTGGGGGAAGGAATCATCAGGGATTTGAGACCCCATTGGGCATCATTATCAACTCCATAAATAATCTCTGTACTATAAACCGTAATCTCTTAATATAATTTTATTTTTACATTAAACTGGAATCATTATCAAATGCATTGCATTTGAATCAGCATATAAGTAAGGTGTTTTGGGTCTATCTTTTTTGCAAGCATAAGGAAGTTGAACTAGCAAGCCTAGACTTAGCTAAAAGGTAAAGGTAAAGGACCCCATTCAGTAAATATTATTGTCCTCCTATGGCTTTGAACGATATGCAGCGTTGGTCAGCATTGGTAGCAATCACTTAGCAAAGAATTGTGAAATATAGCCTTTGTGAAAAATATAATGGTTTGTGTAATGATCAGAAACCTGGGTTACTGTCAAAATATGTTCCTGTATTGATTTATAGGTGATGGAGATTAGTCTTAAAAAGTCAAATTCATAGCAGCTTTGTGATCTGTGCAGCCAGACCATTCCTTATTCTTAAATTAGTATAAAAAGCATACCAGTCTCTTTCATTTAATGGGGAAAATAACAGATCTAGAACAGGGAGAACATCGAGCATGTTAAGAAGTTTACTCCATCACTTTGGGGCCACCGTAGTTACCTCTGAAACTGAAATTTAGCAGCTCACTGGTGAGCAGAGGCCGGCAACAAGAAGCACTGGTAGGGCTGAGATCTATTGTTTCTAAGTGGTTGCAGGGCTGTCCAGGTGTCCTGATTTAAAAGCTGCTCCTTGAGACAGGAAATTGTATCTTGTTCTGAGGTTTACTGTAATAAAGTACATAGTCCTGAGGGATGGCGCTGCTGGGTCCATGAATCACTTTATGGGCAGGCTGCTCTGACCTCGGCCCAGTGATTTATTCATATCATTCCGCAGCAGGAATGGGAGAAATGTGACCAGCAAATGGTCTTGCTCCATGGATGAGCCTTTAACTAGGAAACCAATATATATCCTTGAAGCCAGATCCAAGATGCCTTTGCAGTATGCCTTGGGAATCTGTTAACAGGGGAATTCCTCAGATTTCCTGAATGTGCTTTGTGATCTGTCGAGATCTGAATGGCTTGCTTAAAAAAAGTAAAGGCTACAGACTGCTGTAAACACACTTAACTAGGGAGTTAAGCCTTAGGACTTATTTCTTATTTAACTTACACAGGGTTGTATTGTTAGAGAAAAATCAGTACATTTCAAGTGCAGGGCTCCCAGTAATTCACTCTCAACTTATATTTCTGACCAGGAATTATTTTGCACAATGCTTGTGCTGCCACTGTTTTGTACAAGTCGAATAATGTGATGGTAGAGTTCTGATAGTAGAATAAATCTGCAGTTCATAGAACTTACAGTTGTCAGCGATAGGATAAGGACTTAAATCAGGGGTAGGCAACCTAAGGCCCGTGGGCTGGATGCGGCCCAATCGCCTTCTCAATCTGGCCTGTGGACAGTCCAAGAATCGGCATGTTTTTACATGAGTAGAATGTGTGCTTTTATTTAAAATGCATCTCTGGGCTATTTGTGGGGCATAGGAATTCATTCATATATTTTTTCAAAATATAGTCCAGCCCATCACATGGTCTGAGGGATGGTGGACCGGCCCATGGCTAAAAAGGTTGCTGACCCCTGACTTAAATTATTAAAATAATTTACTCATTGAAAAACCTGTCCAAAACTGCATACCTAGTGTTTATTCATTAGTCATCTGTTGATGACAGCAACTTTGAGTGATTACTTACACCTGTGAAACTGCTGTCACAGATCAAATATTACAGACAGAGCTTTCATATTCCTTAACTAGCACCAGCTGAAACACATTGCTTTCAGTGACAGCAGTTGATGCTTTCAACTGCTAATCATCACGTGGCAAAATATCATCAAATGGCATGTATCCATGTGTGGATCTGCCCAGATTAATATAAGAATAGACAGTAACTTTTCAAGTGCAATATGCATTACATGATAGCTTTCTGTGTGTGGCTGGACTATGTGTACACTTGTTATCTTTTCCTGCCAATTCTAGCATGTTTTCCCTCCCTTTCTTTTGTGCTTGTCAAATTCCTAGTTCATAGCTGGTATCATACACCCCAAGATTGGCATTCTTTTAATTATACAAAGTAATTTACACTTACATTCATACATACAACAAGCCTAGGATAATGACTTTCATATAGGGTTACATATTGGTCTGAGAGGACAAGCTAATGCTTTTTTGCCATATACCTGTCTTAAGATCTAGAGTGGGTTATAGCTTTAAATCAGGGATGGCCAAACTGTGTGGCTCTCCAAATGTTGTTGGGCTACAACTCCTATGATTCTTGGCCACATTGGCTAACACCATCATGAGGGTCACACATTAGCTAATCTTGCTATAAATAATTTCAAGTATAAAACCAATAAAGGAATATCACATTTGGACCAGCATCCTTTAGTTAAATAATGTGAAAGGTAGTACTTAGGAAGAGAACTACAGTACAGTGGTAACTCGGGTTAAGAACTTAATTCGTTCCTGAGGTCCGTTCTGAACCTGAAACTGTTCTTAACCTGAGGTACCACTTTAGCTAATGGGGCCTCCTGCTGCCACCATGCTGCCGCCGCCGCACAATTTCTGTTCTCATCCTGAAGCAAAGTTCTTAACCCGAGGTACTATTTCTGGGTTAGTAGAGTCTGTAACCTGAAGGGTCAGTAACCCGAGGTACCACTGTACCAGCTGACAGCTTGCATGTTTATATCGTGGAAATAGGAACAATCTTTTTTTATTTAAAAAAAATGACAAAAGTTGGCCTGAATCATTAGACACTGTGTTGGGGATATAGTGACTAAGGTGCTGGGGTGGCGATTAAGGCATTCATTATCTCTTGTCTTAGCCCTGAGCAGTGATTCTATAGTCTAAGAATCTTGAAAGAAGAATGAGGATCAAAACATTGTAACTATGGGAAAGCAAATATTGATTTATTTTATATTATACAGAATTTCTACAGAGATGCCGAGAATAAAAGCTGAGTCATGTGACCACATCATTACCTTTATTGTGGGGAATTTTTCTACTTAAGGCCTAGCTGCATATTGTACCGGGGGGAGGGGGAGTAGTTTGAAATGTATTGAGTTCACACCTTGAACTAAGGACTGATTGCAAACTTCTACACAGACGATTTGGGTTTATATTATCCATTTAGAATGCAGGTGGAGGTGGATAATTTGCAATTTGGAGAGGTCTCCCAGGCCTGGCTCCTGTTTTGACAGCCCCTTCAGCAAAGCATCCTCCAGTGGCCTCTCTTCTGTGTCATGGGGACACAGGCAGACACAGACTGGAGGTAACAGCAAACAGCACCAGCCACACCCCAATAAGTGCTAGGTGGCTGTGTCTGGGAGCCACCTTCATTTAAATTTCCCACGTAACACCACTCTTGGTCATTGCATTGATCTAGCAGCTTGGCATTCATATGACAATCATTTTTAAAAGCATGATTTTAAAGGGGGACTTTGGGCAGGTGGCAATAATAAACTTAAAAACTTGACCAGGTACAATTAGATGTTGTTGAATGTACATGCAATTAAGCCATTCGCCTGTTCTTTTTCAGGCAAGAAGCCCTTCTAGCTGCCATTAGTGAAAAAGATGCCAATATTGCTCTGCTGGAGCTGTCATCCTCCAAGAAAAAAACCCAAGATGAAGTAGCTGCACTTAAACGAGAGAAGGACCGCTTGGTGCAACAGCTGAAGCAACAGGTATGAGAATATTGTTTGATTCAATATGTGAGTCTGCCATGCAATTTGCAGCTTGCCTTAGGCAAATCCCCTCGGCTACTACCTACTTCCTCACATGTCATGCCTTCCCCAAACTGAAAGCTACAACAGCACTTTAATATTTTTTCCAGCTATGAGGGCTGACTCTCTTACTTTCTCAAAAAGAGAAAACGCCAAAGGTTAAAGGCAACCAGTTTCTGGTGGGGTTAGGAATCTGTCCTATAAATAGTTACGTGCAAGGCTGAAGTAAGTCCTACACATTAAAAATCTTTGATCATTTTACTTTTCTATGATATGAAACAAGTGCCTGGAGTCCACATGGGCTGTATGAGGACGAATAAACTGAAAGCTAAATCCAAATAAGACAGAGCTGCTCTGTGTGAATGGCCTGTCAATCCAGACAAAGTAGCATTGATCTTGTTCTGGATGGAATCTCAGTCCATGTTACAGCTTGGGCTGGATTAAAATGGGTTTAGATAAGCAGTTTATTCCATATGTGCCTGGGACTGAATAGGAGCATCGTGTCTGTAAGTGACAGCTTAGCTTCCATGGAGGAATAAGAAAGTGCTTATTACCTGTAGTAACTCTAGGAACATCAGAAACCCAGCCTTATTTTCTGTAAGAAGTCCCACAAGTTATTTTGAGACAGTTATAGGCATGCAGACCTATTATTAAGATGCTATCCTAGATTAGTAGATAACAAACTTATTGTCAGGAAAAATTCATGTACAACTTATGAGACATATGCTCTCCTCCTTTTTCTAGCTAACACAAACATGGGAGAACTGTTTGAAGGAAAATTGATACTTCTGAAAAGCTATAGAAGTCACTTAGAAACTATTCTTGGTGATTTTTAGCTAAGTAATTCATTTGCCAGATAGTTAGCAGCAACTCCCATCTTTGGACAGCCACTTTTGGGCCCCCAGCCATCACCACCACCACCACCATTTACTTCACTTTCACTCCTATTACAACTAAATTACTCTGTTGCCAAAGGCAGCAAATTGGAGCCAAAAAGCCTTTCCACCAAAGGTTTCTTCTGAAGCACCGGTACTCTGGTAGCAGTGGTTTTTCACTTAACGTTTAATATTGAAATAAAATGTTTAATGTTTGCTCAATTAAGTTCTTTTTCCGATAGTTAAAACCAACATTAAAACAGGTCAGAAATCAACTTTACAGTTTTTGTAATATTCAGCTTTACTGGAAGAGTAATAAATACTGTCACTTTGCAGCAAGATGGCCATTCACCAACAAAAGGCTTTGATACACAGACTTTAATGTAAAATACATATTTTCATTTCACCATGCTGATAAAATGCTTCTTGGCATTTGACATTTGACATCCATCCTCAACAATATGAGGAGAGGAAAGAATTCTAGTATTATGAGAATCTATGATCCTGCAGGCTTGATGCAAAAACCCAAGTAAAAGCCTTGAGAGTATTTTCCTATCATGAGCTTCTTAGGTTTTTATCCTGAAGAATGTGAGATTTGTAACTCTCACAGAAAATACTTTTTAATAAACAGGTGTCTCCTGAAAACCTCCTTTTATGTGGTGTTTTTGGCTGCCCTTCTATCAGTTGAATAACCTGTTCAGCATAGCATTATAGTTCCATTTTTATAGATTGAAGAACAGTTAAAATCCAAATCATATACGTAGTAGGCAACTTTCTAAACCCTTTAAAGCATTTTGTAACCATCAGTATCATTCTGCTTAATACATTCCACTTGAGATGTGGCTAACAGCAATGGGGACAGGACAAGCTCTGTCTCATTTTCTAACCACCATGAAAGCAACAACTGAAGACATCTGTCTATGGAGGACCAACACAATATATTTTGTTGCACAAGGCAAAGTACAATATGGCACCTCCTTCAATTCCATGTACAAAAGCCAAGTGGGCTTGCAATTGGCTCTTACATCAACACTGGTGACAGGATAACATCCTCCACCAGACCAGAAGCAGCAGACCAGATTAGAAGGCCCAAGAGACAGGCCACTTGGCAACAAAGTTATTAAATAGTTTGGCAGAAATAAAAACCCGAGTTCAAGTTTTTCATCTGGCAGCGTGGGCTAGGACAGCATCTAGATTCCTCTCTCAAATCCAGCTCTTTGACATCTAATTTATCTTACAACTTAGTGTAGAATAAAGTTCACAAAGAAGTCAACTGGAGTTTTCCAGAAACACTGTAGCCACACTAGCCTTTGGGTTAGAGTACAGAAGCAAAATTACTCTTTGAAAATGCTTCACAACTTCTATCCCAGATGAATGGTAAGTAGCCAGTGTAACATCAACATTTTCAGAATTAGTTCTGTGAAATGTAGACTTCTTGTTATAGCTTCTGTTACCCAATAAGTAGGTAGGTTCCATGTTGGAGATTCAGTTTTGCTGTGTAAAGGGGAGTTCATGCCTCATGAATCTGTTAATCTCTCCCCAGCAACCCCTAAGGAAAAAAGGCAACCATGGATGAGAGCATATCATCTCAGAAACTGGTTAAAATATTAAGAGCCAAGAGTATTCATTAATTAAATAAATAATAAAAATTAATGAGTAAAACAATGTATTTCTCAAACTATGAACAATGTAAAGTGTGGATCATGAACAAACTGTTAATTTTTGCAAAAAAACACAACAAAACTCATAACATGACTAGCCTCTGCAAGAGTGTTTCAGTCATCAGAATGCATACAAAAAGTTTGATTGAACAACTTAGATTCAGCAACCAAATAATGACTACCTATTTTGTAGCATTCTGTGATGATTCCTTCAGTTTCCCTATTTGCATTCCTCACACAGTATCAGATTCCCACCCACTCAACTAGCAAATTGGTTACTGTTAAAGAGAAGGGAAGAGTTTTGGCAAAGACATTCTGGTTCTTTAATTTCTCTGTGTGCTTGTGTTTAACTTTGGATGAGGAGAAGTATTTCAGAAAGAGGATATGGTATTAGTGTTGTTTTAATTTAAAGTTCCTAGTCTTTTAGTAGCAGGAATGGGTTTTAATATAGAGACAAATTCATAGCAAAATGCTTAGCATTGACCAGGCCATTCCAGTAAACTGAGCTGCCTGTTCCAGATTGACTTTCAGTGTTCATGCTGTATTTCCTGTATCACTGAAAGGATGAAGTGCAACTGTCACCATATATTCTGGCCACAGTTTAACCACCCCCTCCCAGTAATTTTTCTTAACTGGTTCCTGGTGCCATACTGGTTGTGGGGGCTCTATTTAGAGTTGGGAGGGTGAGTAGCATAGCTTCTGGAAAGCAGTACTGTTTAACAAAGTCCAGATGTGCTGATGAGTGCAAGCTGGTACACTTGGATTAGAAGTTATAGTTGAGCCCTGCTATATGTGTGGTGAGGCACTCATTGTGGAATTAATGTAAATCTAAATAACTTGGCCTGCTTATGTACAGTTTATCTACCAGATATATGTCACAACATAGTTCTCAAATCATTAGATGCTGATTATAGTTTATCACCATGTAAAGTGCTGGTCTGCAGCTTAGCTTTGTCAGTAGAAGCTATGGGGAGATAGATTTTCCTGTGATGTCTTTAGTGCTTTAGATTTCTGAGGTTTCCCAGCAGAAGCTCTTCAAGACAAAAGCTGTCACTTGCCCCTATCTGCCTGCTAGTTGATATTTAAAGAATTCTCGTAGCAGTGAGGCAAGCCTTTCTTAGGAAGGGATGTGGAACACAAGCACACTGATGAATCAACCCCAATGGATGTGTTTGGGGCAATAATAATATATAATTATTATTATTATTATTATTATTATTATTATTATTATTTATTTATTTATTTATTTATACCCCACCCATCTGGCTGGGTTTCCAACACAAGGGTTGAGCATCCATAGCTTGAGGACATCTGGACCGCCCCAAAGAATATATTGTTTACTTCAGGTTTCAAATGATGGAACTTCTCATAAGCAATATTAGCATAGGTTCAAAACATAATCCCAAATATGAACAATGGCAATGGAAAAAATGAATATAACTGCACTGTTTTTAGGCAGATGGTAATTGACCTTATAGGGGGAGATGGTCTGGCTTCAGAAAACAGTCTCCGACTCAGAAGAGCTTCACCAATAAGAACTTCAACTCTCTGCTGCCAATAAGGTTTTTCTGTCTCATATTTGACTTGCGAGCACCACCTGTGCTCTCTTAGCCTATGTTTTCACACCATTAACTTTTAAGTCTTTTTTTAAAAGTTTTTTTTTAAAAAAGCCAACAAAGTTACAGACAGGACAGCTGGAAGTACAGTGGTACCTCAGGTTAAGTACTTAATTCGTTCCGGAGGTCCGTACTTAACCTGAAACTGTTCTTAACCTGAAGCACCACTTTAGCTAATGGGGCCTCCTGCTGCTGCTGCGCCGCTGGAGCACAATTTCTGTTCTCATCCTGAAGCAAAGTTCTTAACCTGAAACACTATTTCTGGGTTAGCGGAGTCTGTAACCTGAAGTGTATGTAACCTGAGGTACCACTGTAACTGTATCAATGACCAGGGCTGACCTATTTTTCAACAGTTGAATCAATCATTACATATAGCCACTGTCTAAAGCAGTGGTAATTTTCCTATAGAGCAGTGTGCTGTGGCACCCTGGGGTGCCTTGAATGATGGTTGGGGTGCTGCAGGCAATACTGGCTTTTATCCTCTTTCCTTCCCTCCCTCCTTTGATGCCCTCTCACGTCTCTGCCTCCCAAAGGCTTGCACAGCTGTTTGTTGCTGCAGCCCTGACTGCAAGCTCCATGGGTGAATGTTGCCTCTGGGGCTGGCCAGGGGTTGCTGGTTGCCAGGAACCGAGGTAACCTCAGAGTAAGCAAGCAGGTGAGGGAGCCCAGCCAGCCAGTCTTCCAGACAAGTCCCAGGCCCCTATGGGACCATGTGAAGAGGCATCTCTTTGGGGCGGGGGGGGGGGGTAGATCACAGACCAGGGACTGCAGAAGTAGCTGCCCGGAGGACTCCCAAGGAGAGGGGGCTG